TAGACATCTTCTTGATGCACTCTTCTTCATTCAGGTTTATCGTGGCCTTAAATCCTGCTCCTCCCTTCTGGATAATGCTAGTCTTCGTGTTCCTACTTGCCATGTTCGAGACTTCTCTACTTTTAGCGTTCGTCCCTCAAAAAGACACTGTCCCTCTTCTCGGTGCGCCCTTGCTACCAACGTGGTGGGTAAAGATCTCGACATATTTGCTGACGGAGCGGTTTCTCTGAATCATATTTTACAAGCATGTACCGAACCTTTTACGGTGTTACTTGATTAGTGTTTTAATTCACTACAAATGTGTGTACCTCGGCTAACTTTAATTTTTCTTATGTAATTGGTTTTAATTTATTGACTTGTTATTAATCTTATTAATTTTATGCTATCACTCACAGGTGTCTTATCTTAGTATTTAGTTACTAACAGTATTAGCAACATTAGTAATATTTCATAAATGTATGTATATAGTTCAGTCTTCTTTAGATTTATGTTCACAGATTTATTTGTCATACTTGTATTTTGTTTTAATTATTTTCTGTATATACTCGTGCTAACTTTGTAATTGGCCACTGTGCTGTTGAGTTATTGCATGTAAATAAACATGAATTGAATTGAATTGAATTGAATTGAATTATTATTATTATTATGTATGCATTATTATGTCACAACCATCAAATATGACTAATCTTTGGATTTAACCACATTGCCTGTTTTTGTCCATTTCAGACCATCTTCAATGGTCAAACTGTTCATAAAAGTCATTAAAACATCCACATGCTTTCTATAGAATTTTAAATAAAATTACCAAAAAGATGACTCTGTAAGTTTCCATAATTGCAACTTACAAACCTTGCCTTAGAGAAAAGAATATAAAGTCATGTAACAGACACAATTATGCATAGCAATAAAATGAACACAAAACTTTATAGTTAATTAACTAACCCAAGTAAGTCAACTAGAGACAATGGAGGTTCTCCTTCAGCGCCCTCAGGCTTTGGATGCTCTTCTCCCCCTTCTTCTGGGGTAGACTCCCCACCTTCTTCCAAGCTTGACTGTGGTGATGGTGGAGCACTTTCATGTGGGGCCATGTGGAACCTAACAAACAATTTTTCTATTATTTCTGGCACCATCTCCATCCTAATATCAAATCACAAAAAAGATTGTGAAATGCAATCACGATATGCAACAAAAGCAATTAATGATGCCCTTCATTCATTAATTTCCTTTACTTTGCCTATATCCATACAAGACATATCAAGAAATATATACAAAATTACACGAGTTACATAATTAAAATCACTTACATTAATAATAATATAAAGTAAAAATGTAATAAGATAATTTAAAAATAACTTACTATAAAATTTGAATTAATACAATTTTATTTAAATTACTTATATTAACTGAATTACATACATCACAAATTTACAGACTTATGACCAATTATGCTGATAATATTCATTCATGGAATAAAAAGAATGATGATATAAAAACCTCTTCAATGCAGATTTAAAACTTCTCACATCAGTAGCCAACATTTTTATTGTTTGAGGAAGATGATTAAAAACTTTAATACCTGATATGTACACACCTTTATTGTATATTGTTAGGTTAACTGCAGCTAAATATAAATTATTGAGGGCTCTAGTTTTGTATTTGTGAATCTCATTGTTAAAATTAAATAAGTTGTGGAAACAAGGAACTACAACAAAAATCACTGCTTCAGGTTTAAATTTATGTTTTCCCAAATATATTATAAAATATTAACCTCTTTATAGTTTTCTTACAATTCCCAGGTTTCTCCTTCAATACCTGGAAGGGCAATGAAGAATTTGAAATTATATGAATAACAATTCCATTTATATTACTGAAAACTTTTATGAACCAGAAAATGTTTATTACATAATGGAAATCACTATAGAGAACACATGTGCAATATGTTCTGTATTTAATAATAAACAACTAAAGAACAAGGATTCAAGATCATACTTCATTCACAACATAATCACACCTAATTCCTTCTGATTTCACGTTTCCAGAAGATGAAACAGAATTACAACAGTGTCATTTTGAGTGTAATAACGATATCTTTTACAAAATCATAACGCATAATCACATTAAAGCTTCAATTAGGAGTGGAAGTATAATGAGCAATATTAATACTATGAAGGACAATAAATAAAAAGTTTTAAAGCAAGGTATTGTCATGAAGTATATACCTGTCACCTTCTGATCATATTATATAAAAAAACTTACTGCCCATTGTCCTCCTTGGTGATATCGAGTCCAAATGCCTGCAACTGTGTTGGTGATGAAGCTTCATCAGGTGTTGCTGGTAATGCTGGTAACATTCGTACTGGGCCTAGCTTTTCCTCCTCTTTCACTTCTGCCACTGGCTCTTCTATTTGTGGACCTCGCATTAACGACATCAGAATTCCCACAATGTACCTGAAATATAGTGGACGCTAACTATTCACAAATACAGATTATGAACCTATGTGTATTTCCAGCAATGTAATAATGTTTCTGTAACCGACAGCTTATGATATCACTTGTCCTTGGTTAAGTCAACTATTGGAGAGCCTATGGATAAAGGCAAAAGGTAAAGTTGTCCCTGTACTTTACTAATTAAGCACTACACCATGAAGGCATATGGGGAAATGGATGTATATCCCCCCCCCTGGCACTACAGCCCCAGTGGGCCTAGGCCTACCTCCATGAACTTCTCCGTAATGGATGTATATATAGATCCATATTTTCTTGACTTTGGCACTAGTTGGAGGTGAGTTGTCAGATTTAAGCCCTGGCCACTTTACCCTCAGGGAATGAGCTCCCAGTACTCACTTGATAGCAAGTTGGGTGGACCCCAGAGTTGGCCTGGACGACGTGGAGAAGAGAAAATTCTTGACCCTACTGGGATTCGAACTCTGACCCCTCTGTCATCCAGCCCATAGCAATTCACTATACCTACTACACTATCCTGACTGGTTAATGTTCATAATTGCTACTAGTTCAAAGATAATGCCAAAATCTATGTTATGAGCTTCTAAAACATTAATATGTCACATACCTCTATATTACATTTTTATATTTTGTATTTTTTAATTAATGTGGCAAGATAAATTCATTATTAACAGCATGACACGATTTTACTGCAATTACATTTATATCTACCAGGTACATATTTCAGAAGGTGACGTAATAAATATTAAACATTAATATATTCTGCATACAAGTTTTTGAAATGTTGTATGGACACTATCAAACTTCAATTAAAAAATGTCAAACAGATAAACAATACAAAGCATCACATATTGTACAAATATGTCCGCAGACAATACTGATCTAGAAGATTTTCATCTATCATTTATTGATTCAGTAAGTGGAATATTAATTTATTGCCCTATAGACCATAACAGAATTGACAAAATAATATCTGGAAAATATCAAGATGGTGACCAATGTTGCATTTTAGCGTCTGTTGCACTGATTTTCATCCATGATATGTATACAGTTGCCATCTTGTAGTGCATTCAACTTCACCTGTTACTTCACGACATGTTTCGGCAACATAGTGCCATCATCAGGTGCCCTAATTACGCTAATCTATTTCATTGCTTGCCTTTATAAAATTATTTAAAAAGTGCGTATTTGTCAACTATAATAAATTTGCACACACTAAAACTTGTTAAGATTATTCATCTTATGTGTCATAATTAAAACTTGCATGCGGTTCTTCCACTGTGGGGGTCGTTTTTCTTATATTCTGTATAAACCGTGTCTTGTGGTGTGTGTTCCCTTCTTAGCTGCGAGTAGTTGACAAATACGCACTTTTTAAATACTTTTTAAATAATTTCATAAAGGCAAGCAATGAAATAGATTAGCATAATTAGGGCACCTGATGATGGCACTATGTTGCCGAAACATGTTGTGAAGTAACAGGTGAAACTGAGTGCACTACAAGACGGCAACTGTATACATATCATGGTGACCAATGTTCCACAACAGTGTAATGTAGTAATTGTCTTACCGTATGACAATTGAGACACCAAATCCAGAGTAATAGAAAGAATAGAAAATCATCTTGAAAAAGGCAATGAAGATTTCTGGTATTGTCATCTGTTGCAGCTCATTGATCTTTGCTTTGATATGTGATGGAGACAGCATTGCCATACAGAAGTACAAAGTATCCTTTGTAGTTTGGATGCCTCGTTGGATGGGGTCCTTAGCAGCGCTGAAATAAGCATAGAAGATGTAGGTTAAGAATTCAGAAGGAAAATATACTTCCATGTTTCCTAGTTCTTTCCCTTGATTTGCTAAGTGGATTATTTTGTAGGTCTTTCAAAACCAGAGCATAAAAGAAGGAACTCACCGTTCTTCATCTTCTTCTGTCATGTAACTGTATGAGGCTTCCCTTGCCTTTCCTCCTCCAGAGCTCTCCACTACAGCCATCAGCCCACTGGCATGTGTCATTTCAAAAATGGCATCCTCACAGAAATTCACAAATGCTTCCAACTTCTCCTTATCACCTCCTTCAGTAACAATGGAGTAGAAGAATGCGCGTTTCGATTCCTGCACGAAAGCAATCTCATTAACTTAATATCTGTATAATTTCTCATCCTTCTCCCTGTCATTACAGAATTCCTTGAAATGCAACCCTCAGTTAGGAAGGAAAGTTTTGCCGAAATTGATAATGAGAATGGGGTGAAAAGTAGTAACCTTTGCCACATAAAACAGTCTAATTGTAAAGAGTACAACAATTCACAATGTCTGTATTCAGAGTGTATCAAAACTCAGCGGCAAAACTTCAGGATCGGACTCCCCATATAGAGAGAAGAAAAAAGTGTATGACAACATAGTTCCGGAAATGCATAATTACAGAGTTATCCGACCTTTTATTAACGTTAGTGCAATCTGACATTCCCAACACTGCTGCACTGTTACACTGAATACGTCTGTAACACCAGCTGGAACACTCTGGTCATGTATCAGAGGAAATGTTCAAAGTGACCTCCTCCTGCCTGAATACAGGCCTCGGCTCATCGCCGCATTGAGTGCCGCACATGATCAAAAATGCCCTGTGTAGTGCATACTGTCTGACAGGCTGCCACAATGCATGCATGGAGAGTTGGTACATCAGCAGCAACAGCAGCAGTCAAATACTCGACAGACTTTAAGTGTCCCCACAGGTAAAAGTCTAGGGGGTTTAAGTCAGGAGAGCGGGGTGGCCAAGCAATTGGTCCACCTCTACCTATACAGTGCCTAGGATAATATACATTAAGGTGCCTGCGGGCAGAGAGACTGAAATGTGCGGGAGCACCATTATGCATGAAGTACAGCTGTTGACAGGATGCTAGTGGCATGTCTTCCAAGTAATCAGGCAATGTAGTACGCAAAAAATCTGTGTAGTTCTGTCTATTAAGCTGGTCCGGAAGAACGTAGGGTCCCAACAAACAATCACCAACAATGCCTGCCCCAACGTTAATGGCAAACCTCTGTTGATGATACAATAGGATAGTTGCATGGGGATTTGTGTCCACCCACACGTGCTGATTATGAAAATTTTGGATTCTGTCCCTTGTGAATGTCGCTTCATCCATGAACAACACAACATGATTACTTGTGTAACAATTGTAACCGGTGTCTCGCATTTTTATTCCAGCAAACAGGATGTGTCGGCACACACTCCATAAATTACACGATCGAATAACTCTGTAATTATGCATTTCCAGACCCATGTTGTCATACACTTTTTTTTCTCTCTCTATATGAGGAGTTTGTTCCTGAAGTTTTGCCATTGAGATTTGATACACTCTGTATAGTGCAAATATTACCACAGTATAATTGACATCCAGTCTTTAAAGAGGATGTGGATGATACTGGTCAAAGGCTAGTGGATGAACTATGCAAAAGTTTGGTCTGGAAAAATTTAATCATATGAAGTTAATGAAATGGAAATTAAAGACAGACAGTATCAGGTTAAAATATCAAACACATTTGGAGGTTTGAAAACATCAACAAAAGTTGAGGAAGTGTTAAGATGGAATTTAAAAGTCAAGGAGGGTCTACATTATCGAGAATTAAAGAGTAACAGACCATGGTTTTATGAAGAATGTTCAAAGGAATCATTTAAACTTCAACGGCGAATGGAAAGGTGATAATGTGAATAACACGAATCATGGAAATATTAAAACTTTCAGTAAAAATATCTGAACAGCAAAATTAGTGAGCTTGAGAGAGATACTAAGCACAAATGTTCCAGAGACATGTATAGAAACAGTCTCCAACGAAAACAAGTCTTATATAGCTTACCTTAAGAATAATGGTGCCCATGGTTTGAGAGTAGCTCTAGGAAGGGGCCCAAAAGTGTAGGGTTATTCCTCTGAAGATGGAAATGGAACCAATTTCCAGAACGTAGTGGAAAAATAAAAACCTCTGATGATGGGCAAAATCCAAAATAACAGTTCTAAGCAATGCGGAAATTGCCAGAAAACTTTAAATTCCAAGGCATATACTAAGTGACTAAAACCTGTCTCACAATCCGTCGATAGACTAAAGAAGATTGTACTTAAGTATTACACCATGAGGATGGAGGTGGAAGTGGAGGTAATGCTCCATAATCTGGCTGCTTTATTCCCAAGGAAAGAGAACTCTGGTACGATTGGATAGGAGTCCATATGAAAATTAAAACCAAAGAGATGCTTCCTACCTTAATTTGTGGCTTTTCCCACTGTTCAATGTTAGATTCCTTGATTTCGAAGTACACCCTCTCTATCCTCTTGCTGCCACCAAGGATTTCAATACGCCCTAGGAATGGTTCGAAGTAGTTGAGGACACTGCCAGCTGTTTCCAAGAATCTGGCCAACCTGATACATAATGAATGTTGAGGTAAGGTACTAACAAATAATTTTGCAAACTTTAGTCATCAATTTTTACTGGAAGAAAAGAAGAAACTTACTGCTGAGAATTGAGGCCTCACATTATTTGAACATAAACCCTTTTTAGTTCACAATGCTTGAAAAAAAAACAGTGATAGACACATAGCCAAAGCAGAGAGAGAAAAAAAAACAGTGATAGACACATAGCCAAAGCAGAGACCACCTCCTAAATATATTTTTTAAGTAAAACCAGGAACCTAGTGAAATATTTTAGAGTACAATTCTCCAAAATATTTTTTTTAATCCCTAAAGCAATTATAAACTGTGAAATATGCAGATGACCTTAGGGCATGATTGATAGACTAATTGAAATTGGAAGGTGCTATGGCATGGAAATGAATGTGGGAAAAGCAAAAGTAATGAAAATTTCGAGACAACCAACCCCAGTCACAATAAAGATAGAACAAAAACAACTGGAGAATGTGAAATGTTTTAAATATTTGGGTAGCTTGTTAACAGATGATGGAAGGTGTACTAGTGAAATTAAATCCAGGATTGCCATGGCAAAAGCTGCATTTAGCAAGAAGAAGAATCTTTTTACCAGCAAACTGGACTTAAATTTGAGGAAGAAACTAGTGAAATGCTACATTTGGAGCATAGCTCTGTATGGGGCTGAAACATGGACACTTAGGGCTGTAGATCAGAAACATCTAGAAAGTTTTGAAATGTGGTGTTGGAGAAGGATGGAGAAGATCAGTTGGACCGATTATGTGAGAAATGAAGAAGTGTTAATTAGAGTCAGTGAGCAGAGGAATATCCTATACGAAATAAGAAAATGGAAGGCTAATTGGATTGGTCATGTTTTACGCAGAAACTGCCTTCTAAAAGAAGTTATCGAAGGAAAGATAGAGGGGCAGATAAATGTGACAAGAAGACGAGGAAGAAGACATAAGAAGATGCTGGATAACCTTGGGGACAGAAGAGGATATTGTCATTTGAAGGAGAAAGCTCTAGATCACATTAAGTGGAGGAATTGTTTTGGAAGAGACTGTGGACCTGTCGTCTTGACAGATTACTGATGATGATGAAAGCAATTAGAGTATGTAACAGAAGCCTGCATAAGAATTACCTGTTAACTGTGAAACAAATAATCTGAATAAGGACCTGACAAGTTCTGACTGTAAAATAGTACAGTAAGTGATAATATTCACAAAACATTTCCAGTGAATATAACTTCAGTCAGAAATGTGAAGAATAGATAATAATCTTACCTTGGTTCATTAGGCATGTGCTCAGACAAGTTGGTAAGCAGTACAGCAAGGTTGAAGCCAATTTCTTTGGCAGGATCATGGAACCTATCTGTGAATTCTACGTAATCTATCTTACCATCATGGTTTGTATCACAACACATCAACAAGAAGTTGATCTCTTCACTGCAAATACAAAAACAAAAAACCCTTATATATAAAAAAAAAAGAAATGGAGCCACTATAGAGAAAGACTGTAAATAAACAGATACCAGAAGTACTTGTGAAAATATCAACTAAGGAATTTTTGGTTCAGTGTGTTCAACATTTCTGAGAAGTTAACCAAATGTTATAGAAGACTCATTATTTACAATAATTACTGCCTATATTTAATAAATTATGTACAGAATTAGTAACAATACAACTTACGGAGTATAGCTCTTTTGTTGCTCCATTTTTTCTCTGAAATCCTTTGGAAAAACCCATCCATCATGGTTAACATCAATTTCCTAAAATGGAACATTTTACAATATGAAGCAACAACAAAGTCTGTTATTCTTATTAAACACAAAACACTGATGCAAACACTTTTTCACAGCCAATTAAATTTAGAATATAAGAATTATATAACAATGTTTTCAACACACATCACTTGATGGAGACACTGATGTTAATATTATTAAAGTGAAGGCCATTCATATGAAACTTTGTGTGAGAGAATGGACTGGATTCATCTGGTTCATGACTGGGACCAGATGCAGGTTGTTTGACTATGCTATAGAACCTTTGAGTTGCACAAAAGGCAATGAATTTCCCGAGTCACTGAATGACTGTCAGCTTCTCAAGAAGAAACCAGTTCCATGGAGTCACAAAAGTGTTCTATGATAAAGACAGAAAATATTCAGAAAATTCAGAGCTCATACATGAAAATCATAGTTATACAAACCTGGAAGCTAGCTGATGATGTTAAATCTTTGAGCTTCAAGAACATGTCAAAGTACTTCAGGATCAACTGTAAGAGACATAGGAGTCATCATTTTCAATAGTAAGAGCAAAACATGTCTGGTGATCTATATGTGCAGCAGACACTTTCCGCAGAACAAATGATGATACTCACGCACACAAATTTTACGCTGAAATTGTATTAAATCAAAATATAACAGACAATGTCTCTGTCTTTTATTACAACATGGCATTTGACATTAAGAAAATAATATTCATACTTCAATTCTAAAGGGTTTTCACAAGGGTGCATTGCACTTGGAATTATTCAGTTTTTGGATATTGTCCATCACCTTGTACTCTGATATTACATAATATTTCAGACACTGCATATACTTTCATACTCAGGCGACAGAGTGGAGGTCATTTGATCATATTGGTTCATTGGGAAGATCTAATTTGAATCAGTGAACAACACAGATTAGTCATACATATCATATATTGGGATTTTGGGTCAGCTATTATCACTGGGAGCAAACAAGAAAATTCATGATTAAAATTACGGAAATATTCATAATGACCTAAAACTAATAAAGAGATGAGCATGTCCTACATTAATGTGTTTTGATCTACAGGATAGAATAAAAATGAATGAAACAAAAACATGAAATCTTACTAAGAAACCAATTCTAGATGCATATATAGATATAGTTGACTATATTAGTTCTATTATTAGAATCATTGTATTATCTTAGCATATTATTATACCATTATATTATTTATTATTTTAAAGTATTTGACTTGTCCTATATCATGTATAGGACATGNTTCCTCCGAAACGTCGGCCAAAACGAAGAATACACGGTGCCTAAACCCAGAAGACAACTTTCTTCAAATACTTGCATTGTCCAGTGACTGAGAATAGCTCTTTCTAAGAGACACAAATGAGTGCCTCCCCACTTTTTTTCCCTAAGAATGCAAACAGCTCCAGTTTCTGAAACATTCTGTTCTTTCACAGTACAAAATGATGGACAAAATTCAGAAACTCTGTAATTCCAGAAAGAATATCCATACTGATTCGAAGACTTACTCACCTCAACATTAGATGCTGACTCTACCAAGGTGTCCACCATCTGTTTACCAATTGTGCCATTGACAACGTTGCCTGAAAATAAAATTAGAGGCTCTGTTAATTTGTTTAAACATGATGTAGTGTAAAGGAACTAGGTTTTGTTTATACTTTTATGTGAGATCACAAAGCAGAGATCTTAGAGGAAGGAAGAGATAAACAAATAATTCAGCAATTCTTAAGACTTCACACTGCATATACAAATTCTGATAACAACCTGGAAAATCACCTATGGAGGTAGCATGTTACTCCAAAATGTTGGTACCCATCTACAAGGTCATACAGTGTTTTAAAGTACATCACAATAAGAAAGCGTGCAAAATCGTTCTAGAATCGAGCATTAATCTTTCAGAAAGGCTGGAAAGATGAGTTGCATCTGGATGATAAGGACCAAAAACAAAGCACATTTCAGGAAGTGTCACATCAGATGGTGGATGAGGTTCTTTGTCTTGGATGTCAAAATGTCAGTGATAGTACTAGTTCATCTCACCCACCTATAATTGAAAGAACTGCTGTTAGAACAGCATGAAAATAGTTAGTGGACTAAGTCCTTGTTGAGCTGAATTCTCAAGCCAGACTGTATGCCAGTGAAGCAGTGAATCCTCTTGATGTCTTATTTACTTAGAGCACTCCACTTTTCCTGATTATCCTACCACAAATACTAAAGCATGGAAATTTGATGTTGAGTTTGCATTACATGAAACAACCACAATGAATAATGAACAACTGAGAGAACTCTGATTGAATGAACTGTAGACAGAACAGAGATCATGAAGTCACTGCTCTCTGAGTCAGATTTCAGTGCTGAGGTCATGTGCAAGAACTGTGAATGTTTTTATACAAGGGTAAGTCAATAAGTAAGTTACAAATGGATATAGAACTTAAACAAATAAGAGTACTGATTTGAAAAATGCTTTTATTTCTCAACATAATCTCCCTGTACATTGAGGCACTTGTCCCATCATTTCATAAGCCCCTGAAAACCAGCAGCATAAAATTCTTTGGGCTGCTGTAAGAACCAGGCACGTTCACATGGCATGGCCTACCTCATAATGCATGACAGGTTAGGTTTTCACAAAGTCTATGCATGATGGGTGTCGTACATGCTGACCCCACAACACAAAATGCAAAGAATGGGTCTGGCATTACAGCATCTCAATCAATACCATGATGAAGGTCATGACATGCTAGCCCGAATTGTCATAGGTGATGAGTCTGGGGTTCACCATTACCAGCCAGAGACAAAGCGTGCGTCAATGCAGTGGAAACATCCTGCATCACCTGCCAAAAAGAAGTGTGGGATTGTCGATGTTCTAACAACCATGTAAATCTGTAACAATTGTATCTATTAAATTGTATAAATTGAATGTACAGAATAGCTGTGAATCTATGTGGAATGTGAAAAGTTGGCTGGCCCTGAAAAGGACAGTTTGTTTCACCGTGAGTGTGCTGGCAGAATTTGCTCCTTTGAAGTGGACCAAGTCTTTATGGCTGTTCAGCTGGTTCGTCCGGCTGGTGATGTGGTGCTGCATGCGCCAGTAGGAACAGCTGCCTATGGTGCGGGCTGGAGAGTTGCGGCAGCTATGTTAGCTGTCTGGTAGCAGAGCGTGGTTGCTGGAGAGTTGCGGCAACTACGTTAGCTGCCTGGTCACAGAGCGTGGTTGCTGGAGAGTTGTGGCAACTATGTTAGCTGCCTGGTTGCAGAGCGTGGTTGCTGGAGAGTTGCGGCAGCTGTCTTTGGTGCAGTGAAGAGCTGATGACTCTGATGACTAATCGTTCTGAACTGAATGTGATCACTGATGATTGTGAGCTTTGGGCTCTGCCTTTTATACCATGCTTGCTGGGCAGAGCTTAAACTTGCAGTTGCAATTGTGAGTGCTGACTGGCTAGTGTGCGCTGTGATGTAAAGGTGGGCTCGAGAGTGAGTGCTGTATAAATACAAGCGTTGGCAGCAATGTGATATTGACTAGGAGTTGAGTGCTGTCTGTTAGACTGGTGAAACCGCGTGTTGGTATGTGGGATGTTCCCACAAAAGTTTAAGGTGACACTATCCTCCAGGAAAGTGATGCTCACAGTCTTCTGGGATCACGGAGGCATACTACACACCACATTCCAGCCTCAAAGACACACCACAAATGATGACTCCTTCTGTAACATCCTCAGGAAACTTTGTAAGGCCATTCAATGCAAGCATGCAACCCGTCGTGCACTATGAGGTAGACCATGCCATGTGAAATGATGGGATGAGTGCCTCAATGTACAGGGAGATTATGTTGAGAAATAAAAGCGTTTTTCAAATCATTACTCTTATTTGTTTAAGTTCTATATCCATTTGTAACTTACTTATTGGCTTACCAATGTATTTTGCTGATAGGACATGATGTATGGGCTACATGAGTCAGCAGCTCATAAGATTACAGATGGCACTCACACCACTTGTTGCAGAACAAATGCATGCAAGAAGTGTTGTAGTAGAATGATCTGTTACCGTGCTGTCACTCACCACTTAGGGCCAGTAAGAAGCTATTAACATTCCTTAATGGGATACAGTGAGATGAAAAAGGTATCATCAACTCAGACACTGGAATGTCATATGAGGAATTTTACATTACAACTACATTTTAGAAATACAATATGATCAGGTTTTCAAATAAAAGAAAAAATTCAATGTTACTTAGTATGCAAAATCCATGAACCAGATACTGTGTGTCATCATGTACTGGAGAGTCTCCTTAATACAAAAATACATCAGACAAGTTGGTTTGAGTGGAAACTCTTCCAGTTTATAATCAGAAGGTCAATGGTTTAAATCTCAGCTGGCTCACGAACTAAGGATTTTAGTGATTTTCCTCGGTGTCTCCAGGCATATGTTGGAACAGTGCCTCAAGTAGGCCTTTCCCTCTTTCTCTCTCATCCTGTCCAATTAATTATATGCTAATCATCCTTCCATTTGGCACTACATAGTCTAAGCTACAAATCACTAAATAAATAAACAAAATACAAATATACTGTATATATATATATATATATATATATATTCACATAACGCATCAATTCACAAATCTGGAAATGTATCACATTTCATAGAGTTGACAATCTTTGTAATATTAAGTACCTCAGCTTCAGAAAGAATGTTGTCTTAGTAAACACAGAAGCTATGTTAAATGGTGAGTGCTCAAATTGTTTCACTTATTTTTCTGTTTACTTTTCTATAAACACTGCCTAAATGGAGATCTGGAAAGCTTGGTGATACCTGTTAAGCAGACTTAATCTTGTTATATTTAACAGCTGTGTTCTCGTGTTTAATCTTCTAAATTCATTATCTCCTATATATACTGTGTTTAAAGAAAATCACTACTTCCTTATTCCTGTGTTCATTATGAACATGTAGTCATATTTCTACAGCAGACATTGTTACCTTCAAGCATAGACAGCATCATAGTTATCATGTCCTTCTGAAGATTGAGAAGTTCTTTCAGTAAGTCTACCTGGCTTGAATGTTTTGATAGCTTGTCCTGCATGTGTGAGAAGAGAAACAAGAAACCTCCAACAGCATCCCACAACCTGCAAACAGAAAACGTGCTTATAGAGAACAATACCTATGAAAGGGTTTCTGTGAATTCCTGCTACTGCTGCTTCTGCTATAACCTTTACTGAAATATGAAAAGATCAATAGAAACTACAGCGTGACTTTTTCAAAACTGTTAGCCAAACTGCAGGCAGAGGGAGGTCATGAAAATGTTGGTAAAAGAAATATATGTAAATCTTAAGAAGTAACTACGCAAATTTGAGATAAATACAATACAATTAAAAATAAAAGAGGAAGGAAATGTATAATAAGATAAAATTATTCACAATTAAGAGCTTACCTTATTTTATCATACCTTGTACTTCAGTTCCATGTCATGATTCTTTTTTGGTGAAAATATCTGTCACAGAGTTACACAAGTCTTGAATATTTTCCATGCCTTGAAGAATTTGATACTCAATTGTCTTTAATAACTTAGTGAGTTTCTCCTGAGTCTGCATGCTGTGTAGGTTAAGTGGGCACAGAAGCACCACTCAGCAGATGCATTAGTTGTTGCAATGACTAATAACAAGTTTGACAATTTTGAGACTTCTGGTAATGCTGTACTCAAGTGGTAATTAAATATTTGAGTGTGTATGAAATATTATGCAGTTCTAGAGGTTCTTATATCAGTGGCTATGAAACATTCTGTCTTGTGGTATGTAACACCATGCAGTCTGGTGTAGTCAGCCAGTATTTCAGAGGAGCATATCACTTTAATTTTCAAGGTTGAAGAGTTGAAGTAGGCAGCAGGCAGTGTTCTATGATATCTCAAAAGACAGAACCATTTGAAATATCACTTTGCAAAATTTTTCTTGTGATTACGTAATGTGAAGTTCAGTTCTCAAAATAAGACAATTGAAATATTGCTTACATGATTACAATAATAATTCATAAGCAGTAGTTGGAAACTTTTCATAGTGTTTAAAGCTTCCGACATCTAGAAGCGAGGAAAACTTTAGTTTGAGAATTTACTGGTCAACTGTGCTTTCACAGTGCTGACTATTTCACAGCACAGCTTGTAATAGGAAGTTTTTGATTACTATTAATCATGCTGATTCATTTTCTCTTAGCAATTCTGTGTGTTCTTTACCTTCCTGTGAGCAACTCATACTTTCTGACAAAACCTTTTCATAAGTGCTGCACTTCTTTGTTAAAAAATTCCGAAATTCTTGCATTTGTGTGTGTGTGTGTGTGTGTGTGTGGGAGTAACCAATGTTGCTGCTTTCGGTTTGCACCTTCTCAAAAAGTATTTGGCTTGCGGTAGTACTTCTGGAAATACTTTCAAGAGAAGAGTGAAGTAAAAATTTTGAAGAATATAATGATGTCCTCGAGCAGAAAGATTCTTTTTTACCATCCTACTACTGCTTGTTCACTAGTTATTAGCATGCTCTGTGAGCACCAAGCATATGAAGTGTATTGACATCTCCTGTTTCACTAACATGGTAACTTGGAACAGTGATCTGTGGCCTGGAATGTCATGCACCCCCCCTCCCATAAAGCTTACAGTATATCATGTCTTCTCTACTTGAACTTATGGTCACAAACAGCCAGCATAAGCTGTGAGGATCTGCCTAACAGACCTATGATGGGCTTGCTAACGGCTGTGGCAGAAGGTATATTACCTGATTGCTTCTTCTGTCAGTATGTTGAATGCCACTGAAGAACAAAAGTAACTTTTTTTATTTCACTTTCAAAGTTTTAGGTGGACTAACACAGTTTAACACGAATATTCCACTGCTAAATCACACAAACTTCTAAGTATGGAACACATGTGCAGTCAATGTATAATACTTGTTATCCTTACCTTGAGTGAGCTAAGGCTTGCTGATTCTGTGTACATGGACCCTGGATCACTTCAGTAAGTGTGTTAAATACCTGACTTGCTACCCCAATAGCTTTGAAGAAATTTGCTTTTCCGGCTGGATCAATGATCTCTTTACTAGAATAATGCCAGTAGAAATCCATGATAGATTCCTGTAACATGTATCACGTGACAAAACTATGAAAGTTACATTATGCATAACACAACATAAAGTATATTTGGAAATATTTACTAGTAATATATACTAGTATACAGATCAAATGAAGCTCACAGGTGCAAATCATTAACAATATGTAAACATCTGGTAAAGCAGTACTTTATGTATATACATATTCTCTACTGTTTATGTTCCTGTCATCTCACTGTGATCTTACACAAAGATCAAGAGCATATTTAATTCATCACATAGTGTCTCAATATGGCTATTAACACTGTGCTGGGCCCTCATACCATACTCTCAGCCAGTCACTGCATCACTGTTTAGTAAGGAGTAACTGCCATACTTATATTTGAAAAGACTGATTCAAGCATAATGATATAAATAATAATATTAGCATCTAAAGTAAGTTTGGAAGACAAACTAGATATTCAGGGAAGATTTAATGATGCCTAGTTACTTTAAAATGCTTCAATCTGGATAATGAAGCTAAAATAAACCATAAATTAATAACTCAACAACAAAATATACATTCATGTTGATAATTTCAGCTACTACATATCTACACTATATTTGGTTCATGAAATGTATCTTCAAATACTTCCCCTGTTGTTGACTATAAAAAGAAGTCTGTTATTGAATATGCATACATTTCATCGATTTTCTTATAGAATTTCATGTTGCCAACTTTACCACCAAACCAGCTGATAAATACAGATACTTTGTGGCCACCATGTTTTATTTTGTCAGTTACTTTACATCATTTTCAATATCACATACTATATAGTATCAAATGGTAGGCTGATGGACAATGAAGAATTGGCAAGTATTTAGAAGAAAGGGGTCATTGCCTGACTGATGTACTATCATGGCATTTGCCTGGCGGGATTGAGGAAAATCACAAAAACTTCAACCAGGATAGTGGGTGTCATAAATGAGATTCAGACTAAGTAACTACCATATATAACTATTTGAGTGTTATTGCTAGACCAACCTGTTTGGTGCCACCATATTGCTATAAAATAAAGGTAATCCATGAACACTGCATATTTCTTGAAGACCTATTTGTGCACAGAATTTAAGAATCCTACAAACAGTAGTCCTAGTGTCACTTCCATTTCAGAAGTTCATGTGTTCACCACACTGGTATTATTGATGACAGGAAATTAAAAAGTATATAAGCAGGGTGTCCTCTAATGGAATGGTGTTTATACCATGTTCCATAAAATGTTTGGAGCTTTTCCATAGAACTGTAGCCCTGAAAAAGGCTGGCATACTTATATCTGAACCAGGTCAAAGTGACCAACTAAAATTTAGTGGATTTCCATAGTAATATTCAGAATTAGGCAGACAACACAACACAATATAATCAACATGACTGGACCAAAACTATAGTTGACTTAACACTAATGAAGGTCACAGTTTAATGGCAGATATTTATGCAAATTTCACGAAGAAATAAAACAACTCAGACAGCATACCTCATCATGCAGTCAATACAGGAAAACAAAATATTAATTTTTCCGTACGAAAATTTAACATTCTCAGTATCCAAGACCAAAACTTTCAACTAAGTATTTCAGTATTTTCTACATTAATGAAGCAAATGGCCATACCTGAAGCCTTAGCAAGTAATCAACTGTGCAGATAACAACATTGACCGTAGTTGTGTTCCCAGCCTGAGTTCTCAGATAATTCTGCCACTCTGTGAACAAATAAATACAAATATTTACATTATTTAGCTACCCCGTTACTTCTGTTTACATAAAGTTTAACAGATTATTTAAACAATTTAAATGTTTTATACATGACCCTCGTTTACTAGAAAATTAATGAAAACAGCAGGTTCTAAAAAATAACTTAGAATTGTTAATTCTGGGCCCAATTGACAGAGCTAGTCCCTATCTCCAGACACATGTACCAAATCCAAGACAGAGTATGCAAGCCAAGCACAGCACAGACAATCTGTGAGAGCTAAGACAAAACATTAACATATTACAAACTCTATGTATATGAGGCATTCAACCAGAGAACTATCAAGATAGAAGTCATCACTGGAGAGAGAAATTCTCCATATGGTACCAACACAAGAAACATAAGTCTTTCCACTCAATCTACACTGGATGGAGTTGTAGTTTTTGATTTCTCCTGTGATAACGGGAGTCCTGATAGGAGAGCCGTCCAGGCTGGGTTGACTCATCAAATGGCCTATCGGAGACACGTGGGCAGATTCCTTGTATTACCTGTATGTGATGTTTGGTTCAATCTGCAAGACCTTTGCTTCATTCCACCGTATTTTGTGGTCTTCTTTCTACATATGTTGGGCTAATTTTGATTTTTCAAGCAGACCCTTTGTCATGTTATATTTGTGCTCCTTAACGCATACTTCTAAAGAGCTGCTTGTTTCACTGATGTAACATCTGCCACAATCATATGGGATGTTGCAAACACACTGCTTCATCTGCTGGCCATCTCTAACTGGTCCAGTTTTTATCAGTGTCCCATGGAGTGTATGTTTGTTTTTGGAAAAAGTCCTGAGATTGAAATAGTTCCCAATGAATCTGAATTTATTTGAAATACCCTTAATGTATGTGACTTGTTTAGTGAGAAGTTATTTAATCTCATCTCAGAACTGTAGCTGTCACATATGGACAGATGGCTGCCACATAGTTGTGAATAAAAGTGTCAATACATATCAGACATGGACTGCACAATTGAAGGTTTCAGAAAAGATTAATGTTGGAAAATTATTTCTTGATTCTTGTGCAACAAAGTTTCACAGGAGAATATTTTATATTTTCATGTTCTTGGTGTGTGGTTCTGCTGTTATCCATTGCTTCCAGCTGCAAAAGGTGTCTGGTACAGACAATAAGCTATTAATTCTGGTGGTGACTTCATTATGCAGAATGAAGACTAGAAAGAGACTTACCAAGATTGTGACCTTCACAGGTCAGTTGAATGAACCTGAAGAGAGCACAAGTAAATTCAGCATCATGCATGTTCTTCTCTCCAGCTGCTCCGTCTGAACCTACACCCAGACCCTCTGCCTTGGTATTGCGTTCAAAGGCATCCAGATCCAGCACACTACAAGAATTCATGAGACCAGCAATGGAAGTAAAGAAACCAACATCCTTCTTTTCTTTAAGGTGATTCAGCATTCCCTGAAAGAAGTATACCATGACTGGTTAAGCAGAAAAAAATACAATGTCTCAAGAGAGCACAATGTAATATAGTGCATATGTATAACTTGTAAGAACTGTTGCAAAGTGACATTAAAATAGTTAGCATAGAGTTCTTCTGCCAGATGATGGTGAAATACTCTCTGCTGAATCATTTGCCACTGATTTTAGAAACACAGGATGTGTTCTACAGAAGTAACATGTAGTAAAGAAAGGTTGTGTGTGGTACTACCTATTATTTTTCCTCCTAAATGACATGCTTTAAAGAACTGTGCATATGCAACCAGTTAAAGCAATCAAGCCTACATCAAGTTGAAAATTGCTTCAGTGAGCACACAGTAAGCAGAACTCAAACATTCAAGCCCTTCTTGATGCTGAAAATTGCTGTTGATGATTTAGCGCATAATTTTTAAACTTTGATTGAATTATGCATCACAAGTTCTTCTTACATGGCCTGAATGTCCACTGATGCTCTGCAGCATCTACAAGAGAAATGTGTAATGAAAATGTCCTGAAAATGGAGCACATAAGACAGGTTTCCCCAATCTGACAACATCCCTGTTCTCTGCTCCACTTTGTTTGTGCAGAAATTTCTGGTAAATAAAAACTGAATGACTGCTGTCCTCAGCTGAGTCACTTTTTTCAGTTTCCAAAAATGAAGTTAGTACTCAAGGGAACAGATATGATGCTGTCATCACAACCAAAGAAACATCATAGATTCAATTTGTATACAGAAGCTTCTTTGAATGGAAAAAGTGCTGGACTCAGTATAACAAGTCACATGGAGAATACTATGAAGAATACAGCATAGAGAAGACGTTAAATTTATTTTTCAGAAATAGTTTACATCAAGTATAGTAATACTGTGGCATACAGACTCATTGCTAGGCAACGACCACGAAACAAGCAATTATACAATGGCCATAACTACGCAACAGCCCGTAAATAGCAACAGAGGAACGGTATTTTCTATGCAGTCTGTGCTGAGGTGTTATAAGCAGGACAAGTTAGGAGTTGAGTCGAGTCAGTTGGTTAGCCAGTTAGTGAGTTAGTTACAGAACTGCTGAGGTTCAATTGTTGTAAACTGTTGCTGTGAGAAGCTGGTAGTGAGGACAGAGACAGTTTTGGAACCCAGAGGAAGGGAACATATGCTGTCAGAAGCCACTACTAAGCAACAGCAGGGAAGACGTGACTGTGGACACAAGTGCATTCGTGTGTGTGTGTGCGTGTGCGTGCATGTACACATAATAGTGAACTATAAAGTGTATTCATGTGATGTATCAAAGAGTCCAATAAATCCCATCATCAATCCTAAATCTCTCTCCAGTCACACTCTAACACATGACAATACTTTTTCACCAGTTGAAGCTGCATGTCATAAAAACTGGAAATAAGACCACACAAAACTATTTTGCTCATGTGAATGTGGCAGCTTAGCCATGTCCTATTCTCGACTATGCCATTAATAACAAAAATAAATTAAGCAATATAACTTCATACACCTCTTTACATGACTGCCCATTAGACATAGGGCAGTTAGTGAGTATGGTTCAATATACTGTTGAAAAACACGTATTTTTATAGCAATCATGTGTGAAGTGTGATTCTGCCAGAAAGTGTAGAAAATTTTGCTCTTGGTATCATAACCTCAATTATAAGATGCATCCATAAATACATAAATTAAATTCTGCACAAGATAACCATTATAAAAATGAAATTTTTTACATTTACTGAAGGGGAAGTGGAAAAAAATGGACTATACAGTATGAGTACATTCATCTGATGTTATTCTGTGTGCTTTCTATAAGGTGGTTCGAAGGAGAAGAGGTAGAAAATAAATTTGTACACAGAGAAATGCTGAGGGAGAACACTTGAGGGGAGAGGGAATTATTCACAAAGAACTTCTTCATGTCAACCTAACACTGTTTAAACATTATACAGGGAGCATACATATACAACGGGGTAACCGAACTAATTTTTTTTGTGGGCAGAGCTTTTGTAGTACCGCATTTTGCCGCTATGAGCGCATACAGCTAACATTCCTGAGTCGATAAGCCGACTACCGTTGCTTCAGATGGTAAGGACTAGTTTCGGCAGAGTTTATAGTGACATCTGTTTTGTGTGATTGTCGTTTTTGCAATGGCTGATTTTCGTGAACAACGTGCGGTGGTGAAATTCTGCTTTTTGCTCGGGAAAAGTGGAACAGAAATTCTTGAAATGTTAAAAACGGCGTACAAGGACGATGCTATGGGGAAAACTCAAGTGTTTGAGTGGTTTTCCTATTTAAAAATGGTGAAATGTCAATGGTGAAAATGTTGAAAAAATTCGTGAAATCATCAAGGAAGATCGATGACAGACCATTGAAGAAATTGTGGAGCTGTCGGGAGTGACTTGGAGCTCAGTTCAGCGAATTTTGACAGAAGATTTGGGAATGAAAAGGGTGGCTGCAAAATTCGTGCCACCACTGCTGACTGCTGAACAAAAACAAGGTCGCGTGGAAGCATGCTGTGCTTTGAAAGAAGAGTCCCGAAATGATCAAAACATTTTTTTTTGTTTCCGCGAATGAAAAGAGACATGAAAGGAAAGCGTTTTGCTGATGTTGCTGAGGTGAGGGGAAAAACGACGGAGGCGCTGTCAAGCATCTCAAAAGATGAATTTAGACAATGTTTTCAAAAATGGAATAAAAGACTAGACAAGTGTATTAGTGTAAGTGGAGAGTACTCTGAAGGGGATTGAAGGTTTGTGCTTAAAATTTGAATAAATAACTTTAAAAAAAAATAAGTTCAGTTTCTTTTGGGTACCCCCTCGTATAGGGACAGCAATTTCAATAAAACTCTTATAACCTCATAATCTAAACAAGTTTATTTAATTGGTCTCATGGGATAAACTCATATTACAACTAACTGGTAGCACTCAGCAAAAGAGAGACGTGACTTACCTTACTTATTCAATACAGATTCATGTAGGTGAGTATATACTACAGTTTTCATACATCCAGTTATGGGCTAACACAATTTCCATTCTTTGCTCCATTAAAATTGTACCAACGCTTTACTATAAGCATATTTTAACACAAAAGAAATTTGATACATATAAAGAAATTTACCATTTGAATGTCAACATTGCCTCCTCGAAGAACTGCAATGCCCAACTGCAGTGTTGTCATGACCATGTCACTAGGAACACCTTTGCATGCTGAGATGTGGAGGAGTACCATTTCTGCCACACCCCTGTTTGCTAACCTTGCCTGATGGAACAGTAACTTTTGCTTCTCCATTTCTTGTTCCTGTAATATAATATAACAAGTTTACCTACTTCAGTAATTGTCTGTCCTATTTTCAAGAAACAAATTTAAGCCCTCTTATAATGTTATAATAACAGAGAGATCATAATGATTGAAGAAAGGCATACAGAGTTTGAGTTTCAGGATACAAAGTTGTAACAGAATATTATATTTAAGCATCCTGTTGCACTCTATACGATATATGACATAAACACCGTCCCAAGTGCAACAATTTATTGTAGTTCTTTTGTCTTGCCCTCTTCTACACTACATGTTTTGGCAGCAAACAGCCATCATCAGGTGTATGCACTTACGTAGCTGTTACACTGCATCTAGTTTAAAATTTAAAACCATAAGGCTTCCCAGTTGTTCTTTTCGTCGTTACTAACAGGTTTCGGTTTATTAGAATCTACCTGTTAGTAACAACGAAAAGAACAACTGGGAAGCCTTATGGTTTTAAATTTTAAACTAGATGCAGTGTAACAGCTACGTAAGTGCATACACCTGATGATGGCCGTTTGTGGCCGAAACATGTAGTGTAGAAGAGGGCAAGACAAAAGAACTACAATAAATTGTTGCACTTGGGACAGTGTTTATGTCATATATTGTAACAGAAAACTGTCACATTAGAGGAAAACCGTTTAAATTTTATTTGTAAAATACTGTACATATAAAGGTTAAAGTGTTGGTTCTGATGTTCTCACTGTGGTTATGATGAAGATTTCTATCTTCTGGGATATAATGCCATGCAGTCCAATGAAAGTCAACAAATACTTTGGAGGGACATCGGCTGACTTTCACCAGATTATATGGTATTTTTTCCCCAAGCAGACAGAACTCTTCAGGTTAAAACGTATACATACAGGTTACATACTTTTCATAACAACTTCATTCTTTACATAATGTGATATGATAGCTGAAAGCTGGAATACAGGAACAGTAAGCCTATTTTCATTTTTATTTCAGCCATTATAATTTATATCGATAATGAAGTAATGAGTTCTGAGCAGAATTCACAAAGCCTACCTTCCTACTGCACAGATTTCTTGTTTTACAAATCTATTACTATAATTGTTGTTATTTTATTTTACTATTGTATTACTTAAGTACAGATTTTGTCAATGTTAAAATTGTTGAAAGTTCCACACAGTCACCATGTATGTGATTTATGATGTACAACAATAGTTTATATATAATGTGTGGATATGTTTATGATCTATCTCTACCAGGTTTCATACATCCTGCTCCAGTGTTTCCTCAGTTATCGCCATGAAACTGAATGCTAAAAAGTTTTCACATGGCTGACATGACATTATTTTACATTCTACAAATACTATCATGACAGAGTTTGCACATTCCTAAAAAATCTATTAACATGCAACATTTCAAGAACATGAAGCAAGTGTCAGCAGTGCTGCCCCGATATCACAATTTATTGTGTCCACCATGTTCTCTGATCACTGACTATAGGAAACTGGAAATATGATGATGGATTGGCCTCCAGTCCCATAATATTCATACCAGGTATCTTCAGAACTGGTCAACTGGTTTAAGAGCTGAAAGGTTGTTATATATAGAGAGCACAGTAAGCTCATAAGCCTGCCTTCCTTCCTTAAAAAAGGGAAGCAGGCTAAAAAGAAATCATTTGGCATAATTTAATAGTGAAGGTTCTTGCTTCATGAGCACACATGGAGACAATTGTTATTAATTATACATACCATTAATTTATCCATTGTTCTCTTTAAAATTGTAGAACAATTACAGATTAGTATATATGTATGACATAAGAATTCAATGTAAGTTAAGTGTTATACACATCATTCCAGATAATTATGAAAATCTCATGTGAGAGACACCAACACAAAAAATTTATAAGAAGAAGAGAAATCACAGGTCACACAAACGAAAATCTGTTTTAACCCTTTATGAGTGTCTCTAAACCCTTTATAAGTTAGATGCTCTTTCATGTCTCATTTATTTCATACTACTACTTTCTTCCATTTAGTATTAAAATAAAATGTGGATTATTTCCTACAAACAAGCAAGCAAACAAACTCCGTGGCCTGCAGTCTGCGAACTATACCAACCAAGCGACTGCTGCTTGTTGGCAAAGTCAGTGCCAACTTTTGCAGATCGAGTGTGTCACGTGGTCAGCACAGTGGATCCCCATGGCCGTTAATCTCGGTTTTCTAGACCAGAGCCGTTATTTCCTTGAAATAGCTCCTCAATTATCCTCATGAGGTTGAGTGGACCCCGTTCCAGACCCACCACTTCTAAGAAAATTTGGTAGTGCCGGGAATCGAACCCGGGGCCTTTGGATCTATAGGCAGGTACTTTGACCACTAGATCACAATTTCCTACAGATGACAAAAGTCCCTGTGTTAACTTGGTAATTTGTTAGAGTGGAATCTCTCCTATACTGCAGGCATGCGACAAAAACCCAATAGAAGTTTCCTGTGTATTATCCCCTTGACCCTTGATATCACAGTTGAGGTTGATCTTGTTGCTGGATATTTGCAGTGTGGAAGTAGGCAGTGCTGCCAATTGTTCTGAGAAACATTCTGCCCCAAAGCATTCCAAGAATACTGCCCACTTCCGTACAGTGCAAATATCCAAGAGCAGGATCAATGTGACCAACAAATCACTAAGAAAGGCTACAATTAGTAACATGACATCATAAACTAACTTACCATTTGTAGCCAGAGTGAGTGAGCAAACAATTTATTCATTGTAGCTGAGTAGCTCATTAGCCAGTCCACAAAATTAAGCATGCCACAGCATTGGTTTTCAGTCATATCAAACTCATATATGAAATGTTTCTCATAATCTAAAATGCGACTCAGTTGTGCTAAATTCAACTGGTAACTTACATGAATGGAAGCACCTCCTTCTTCATCCCCACCTTCTTCTTCTCCTTCCTCTTCTTCCTCACCACATGACCTACAGTCAGACAATATCCTCACATCAGTAATGGAAATATCATAGCCTCTCAAATTGTTTAGGTAGGAACCTTAATATTAATTGAATGTCTGAACCGATCATCAATGTTGTATGCATATCACAACACCTGAGGCCATCTCAAGGGCATGCTTCATAAGTCCCTCCCATCAGTAATACCAACACTGCAGTCTCTCAGATTGTTGAGGTAATAACCTTAATATTGTGACATGTTGCGCAATGGATGACAACCCCTCCCTACCCAACAGTGACGTGGTGGGTGAGTCAGCGCTCCATCACCCTCCTCCATGGTGACGTAACATGCAACGCAGCTGTGACACGGGTAACAGCCAACAGCGGTACCTACTGCGTAACAGGTGGGCGTTGCGAACATATAAGTGAACCACACTGCCTACGAAGTGAGTTTAAATGTGGCCGTCGCTGAGTGAAGTTGGAGAGAAGTTAAGTGTATCAGTCGCCGAAGACAGTTCTCAAGGCAGCAGCGTACAGCTGAGTTGGAATCTAGCCAGCAGCGAGTTACGAGTTGAAATGTGGCCATCGCCGAGTTCAGTTGTCGTTGTCAGTTAAAGTGTATCAGCAGCCGAAGTGAATTCTCAAGTTCTCGAGTTACGAGTCAGCCAGGCAGTCAACCAGCATTTGCAGTCTAGTATTTGTGATACTGCCGATGGCAGTAATTGTCAGATTGTAATTTGTGTGATTGTAAGAGCGAATGTGAAATAAAATTCGCTATAACAGATACGCGTGAAGTTATTTGTCGCGTATACACCCAACACGTGATAATATTATAACATGGATGGCATAGCAGGAGGTGGGGGTCACGTGAACTCTGTGATCTTGCGAGTGACGTCACATACCCCCACTCTGTCCATCAGTGTGCAACGCTCGGTAGACACCCCGTTCCCCGCGGTGACGTGGCAGAGGAGCGGCAGCATCAGGCAACCATTGCCACGGTGATGTAACACGGGATGCCATTGTTGCTATGCAGCAGTAAACAACACCCGACAGCGTTGCTAGGCTATCGCCAACACGACATTACGCAACAGTGGTAACTATTACGCAGCGAAGACTATTCAAGAGTTAGTTAGGAGTTAGGAGTGTGTGAGCAGGAGTGACACAGTGTGGATGGAACAGTCGCCGAGTTCAGTTGTAGCGGAAAGAAGGATACCGGAACGTGTGATTAGAACTTATAGTGCGAGAAGCAGATGCTTGGCTCACAAGAGAAGTAATTGGGAGTGTGTAATACAGTGACACTGGTATAGCTCCCGTATCATACTGTGAATACGTGTAGACTACTGAGGACAGAGTGGACAGAATAGTGTGTAGGGTTTGTAAATTGTGTAAACCTGTAACAGTTATAATTAATTGTAGCCAAGACTTCTAGGTTGTTAAATAAACCAATTAACAATCTGAAAGGCGTCTTCAGTGGCAAAAACACGTTACAATATTATTTGAATGCCTGAACTGATTGTCATGAAATTTGGTAAGTGTATTATGTTCAGTGGCTTTATTAAGCATACATACTAAAGTTTTTTCTACATGTTGTAACAAATATTCAAATTATAGTGAAAGGAAAGAAGCCAATTAGTTCTTTCCAGGACTTCTTGTTTAATTATGCATATTAATACATTAATTGACTAATTAAATAGGCAAATATTGTCATGTGTATGAGTGACTCTCAGCGGGGTTTTGGATTGGAGATTGGATTTATTGACCACTTTAACACACAATTCATAATGACATTTAATTATAGTTCCATCACTGATCTACTCATTTTACAAAACACTAGATCATACAGAGTTCTCAGTCTGTTACAGTCTGCACTAGTCGTTTCCTGTTAACGGCTCCAACAATGGCTACTCCTCTGCTTACATGCTCAAGTGCTCTCCAAATGGCAGCTCCTGTCTAACTGAACTCAGTCAAAAAGTCAAAGTCAAAGTCACATTGCAACTGATGGTCAGTCAGTCAGTCAGTCAGTCAGTCAGTAAGTAAGTCAGTAAGAGCCCCAGATATTCATTAGTGTTTGACAGCTATGGTCTTGTTTTTGTGGGGCGCCTTATCTGATGAGGGGATGGGTCTGTCTCTTGTATATGCTGCTAGCCCTTGCCAGCGCAGTCTTTCTCAGGTCTGAGTCTCTTGGGACTTGCAACCATATTTTACTGTCTCAGATTTGAGATTTCCCTTTTGGTCACCTCCTATGACTTGCAGGGTCACAGTGGAGGTATTTGACCTGCCTCCACATGGGGTCAGTCTTGGTGAACCAGCTTTCACTTCCGTCCTGCTTGTGGCATGGACCATGACAGACAACACCATTTCCAACAGAACCTTTATTGTTGTGTGTTGATTTGTTGCTGTGGATATCTGTTTGTTTACGATCATTTCCTAGTAACAGGTCTACCCACTACAAATATGTTTATTTTTGAAACAAATATAAAATGATTCTGTAAATTGTTTCTAACAGTTTAAACCACAAATTAAAAGCTACAGATTTCACAAATTTTCAGGACTAGAGAGGTTTCTGCTATTTTAAATTTAAATTTGGATAATTTTTACTTTAAGACAGTAAAATGAACACAATGTCAGGAGGAATATGAAGTTTCTTGAGTAAGAAGACACATGTTAGAGTGTCTCCTCTCAAGAGACAAATGGAGTTCTCAACTCAAGGGCAAGTCTCCAATTTAGAATATTAGAATTCTAACACTTAGAAAGAGGAACTGACAACATAGATATGTCAGATATTTTATGTTTTGAGATAAATATTAAATTTTCAAAATAGAAGTTGACAGTATGCCATGTTTATAAGAAAAGAGAAATTGATGATTCAAGAATTAAATTTTTAATTGGGTGAGTTATGTGATGTTAACAGCTATAATCCCTTACCATATAACTTAACCTTTCAGTTCCCTAGTTCCACCACAGAACTCACATACACAATACTTCCTCAAATGACCTCAAAATGACCACAGGTACAAATCATATCTGTCTGTTCCTTCCTCTTAATATTGGTTTGTCACACTTAAAGCCATCTACTGAAAGAAATGCTGTACTAATTGATATTGCAGAAACTTTTAATAATTACTTTTCATCTATAGCCGAAAAATTACTCGACAATAAATTTTATAAACAATCTCCTGATAATAATAAGGATTTTTTATATTATTTACATCAAAATTCACACCAGTTATTTCCAAAAATGAACTTTAGTAATACTAATTCTTATGAAATTAAAAAAATAATATTGTCAATGAAACCGAAGAATTCTCATGGCTATGATGAAATATCATTGAAGATTATGAAATCTAGTGCCCCGTATATCCTGTCTCCCCTAACATATCTATGTAATAAGATACTATTAACTGGTATTTTCCCAGATAGGCTTAAGTTTTCTGAAGTTAAGCCTCTCTATAAAAAGGGTGATAAAACTGAAATCTCTAACTATAGGCCAATCTCACTTCTTCCAACTTTCTCTAAAATCATTGAAAAGATTATTTATAGAAGAATTTATTCTCATTTAAATAGGAATAATATA